AGTCCCTTTCCAGTCTGTGCCTGATATGCGAAATTCGTGCCGAATCTAAATATCTGAGGACCTGAATCGTATAGGGACCTAAATGTATGCCGTTACAACGCTGAAATATATTAAAACAAGAACTATGAGGAGTCAGGTTATATGCAAAAATTATAGGTCAAGCAAACCAAATATTTCTACCTGTCATGTAATACTGTAGAACTAAATAGTTGCAAATCTAAAATCTAATTAATCAGCAGAATTACTACGCAATATTAGCTCAACTTGCAGTAACTTCATTTCGGTTTGAATACTAAACTACGAGAAGCAGCGAAGGAATAAAAACGGAACGTGTAAACCGACATAGATTCTGATAAAGTTTAATCTAGCTCAGTCGGATTATGCTTTTTCTATTAGGTTGTGTGGAATTACTTAGCAAACTAAAAAACTATCCATTGTATAAATAAAACGTCGATATTTTGCTAATGTTGAATGTATTTCTGCTTGTTGGTTTCAAAGGCCAACACGCAAAGTTTATCAACAACTTTATGCTTATCATTTGCATTGCTCTACATCATCTAGTCATCGATGTTTTGTTTAAGAAGATCGACTCGCTTCATAGCCTCTTCTAGGGCACGAAAGCAATTGAAATCTGTTGGTGAATATGGGGTGGAAGCCGTCGCTCGATCATGTTTACTCGATCCAGATCGCGACTGGTTTGTGGGTTGTCGCCGCGTAATTACGCTGAAAGCGCCGATCGATTGATCGATCGTTGCGCCACACATCTAACATGATGCTCTTCACGAAACTGAAATATCTGCCAGCATTGACTCTTCCGTTTTCGAGCTGTATGTATCCCGAGTCCAGTGTAGATATTCAACACTATTACCAAAGTCGTATGTCGCTCTTGTTCGAGGTGTCACTGGCTAGTCTGTTTTTCCTCGTCGGCGGACAGCGCAGACAGACTCATGTCCCATCTATTTATTCGTCGGTAATAGTTACACAAATCGTTTATGAAACACATTACACGTATTTTCATCTATCTGCGATTTAATTTATGGGGAACCCTATTTTTAGCTTTTGATACCAGCTTCAGCGATCTTATGATACGCATTTCGAGACAATCCACTTTAAATCGATAGAAATCATACCGTTTACACTTTGCTTACTTCAAGAGCTTCAGTTGCCACACCAATTCGTCGTTCGGCCTTCTGCGGTCCATTTGCGAGCCTGAATCGTAGTCACCTCTTTTATGGTCTTTAACTTCCCAGTTTACCTTACTAAAAAGGGTCTATCAGCAACGAATCGTTCGATAAGTTCAGAAAAAGTAAATAAATCACTTTCATATTAAACAGTATTTTTGCCTCCTAACGTCTTGTTTACTAACAAAACTTTAGTTCATGATAGCAGTCTAGTCAAAGGCTGGAGCTAAATGTTTATCAAGTTTCGTCGATCAATGGAACGTAATCTCAAGGTTATTCATGTTTTTTAGCTAGAAACAGTAGTTTCTAAGCCCGATTAATGTTACAATTTCATATTTCATCGAAAAGGCATGACCTTTTTTTTTTTCGTAGAGTTTCATCAGTCGTACGCCTGAGCAACGTTTTCAATCACTGGAAACACCACTCGTTTCGTGTATATGTGACTCCCAAACATCATTCCTACTAGTTCTTGCTACCTAGAAAACGATCGTGAAGGATAGCTTTGATCGTAGCCTCGCCGGAGTCCTCGTTCGGGTTACGTCCAAACATTTTTCGTTTTTCGGTAAATGTTTGTAACTGGAAAAACTGAACAATAGCAACAATAAAGCATCTTGACCTTAATGTTTCTAGAGAAGTTTCATCTGTATGGCTTGTCTAATATCAGATCTTCCTAACAATAAAATCAGCATAATACAACAATTCGCAAACTAAAATACATTTCGGACAGTGAGAGACACGTTTTTGTGAGGTACGCGTTTTTGTGCCTTTTGATATACGCTTGGGTGCTTACCTGTGTTTCATCCTAGATCTTTCACCTATGCAATTTGTGCGAAATGTTGTTTGAAATTATAGAACCATTTATGGGTAAGTCGAAGCTTTTCATGGACTCATTATAATGCTTATAATGGCAATTATGTCTGAAATTCAGGGGAGGTCGAATACATTTTGAAGCCACAGTGTAGGTCGCGTCAACACAGGTGTATTTATAACACGTTTACTTCATAACATCTCTGCATAGATGGTTCCTTTTATAAATAACTCCACCTGAACGGGTTAAGCAGTCGGCTTAGCTACCAGAATATGGAAGGCTGACTAAGCAAAAAATCGGGATGTTTTCTGAAAAATTAAAAATCTTTGCAGGCCAATATTTTATACTGTTGTCAGGATCGATAGCCTTGCTTTACGATGAGGTATAAGATACGAAAATTTAAAAAAATCTTATAGACAGTATCAAAAGACATATTGAACAAATGAACAAGGCTTGATTAATAAGACCGGGTTCGTCTGCGTTTTTTTTTTCATTTTAAGTATACTTCGTCTGCACTTCGTAATGCCAATCGGAGCCAAATGGTCGATTTGTACAATGGCTTCTTAAGCAGCTCTTCATACCTGTAATGTATACCTATTCGCACAGCGCAACTGTGCTGCAAAAAAAAAACACACACACACACATTACCTTTTGGCATGAAAAGAAGAGTTCTAGTGAAATTGGGCTAGTTAATCGCAACGATCTCTAATGAAACCCATAACGTTAACAAGTTTACAATGATCTAGTACGCTACTATGTTCCTTTTCTTTTTTCGCCATCATGCACATTTAGGCCGCGGTTAATATGCTATGTTGTAGCAAATAAAACGCAGACAGCTGTTAAATGCGAAGCTGGTTTTCTATTTTAGGAAAAAGGACGAGTTATAGATGTACTTAAAGGATAAACTGCAAATTTCGAATACGAGCATAAATAAAAACCTTTAGAAGATGTTCAGAGCTTTACCTGAACGTGTTTTGAAATATGTTGCCTTGGCAAGTGACATCATATAACCCAAACACGGGTCAGGCTAATACTGATGTTTTCAATTGTAAATTCTATTAATTGCATAGGAACGGCGGTTATGCTCGGAGGTCTTTTTCGTGGCTGGGACCACGAGGACTTTTAAGCCTACTGCCGTACCTAGTTGATGTAACATGTATATATATATCTGTAATCACTGATATGTGTACGTAATAATAGATTTATGGATCTTTAAGAGACGATCTCGTGTTTCAACAAATACTAGTCCCTAATCCGCTGCTCTGATCACCTGATGCGTTTGTTTCTTCGCGTCCATTCTTCAATTACACCTATATTCGTTTAAACAGTTTCGTGCATTGGACTGTTTTAGTAAGAGGACGCCATGTATTCGGTCATATGCATCACATGGATCCGGTCCTGCGTTCTACCGTTTGTGTCGATCGCAACGGCTGTCAATGCAAAAGTCAATCAATATTCAGTACATACTAATCGATGTTACGATGATGTAAGCGGACCCGAATCAGGGAATAAATAGCATAAAAAGGCCATAAATGGTCAGACATAATGGCTGTTGTATCCAGTTGCTCGAAAGATGATAGCGTTCGTTTAAAGCTACTGTTAAAAAGCGCGTCGAGCTAGCGTTTGGGATTCTTTTTTCTTGTTCACCTGATGCGACTGGGCCACAATCGTTATTGACCATATCTGATTTTGTTGAAAAACTTACCAATGCGTGAAATCCCTCTAATCACATCAAATACGAATCGTGTACTTTTTAAGGTAACCATTTAGCTCGAACCTGGGCTTAAGTGTATTTTCAAGAGTTGCCGATCCCTTCGTCTGCTTCATATCAACGTGGAGGCACCACTTCCCGTCACCCAAAGAAATTCGATGCGGAAACTTGTCATTGTAGTTGTGCGTCGCCCAGGACTTATGCAAAATGTTCGGAAGTAATGAGAAGCCGCATTCAGTTTATAAAGTATTCAAGCTCGTAATTTGTGAGTAAATCCTATCGAGTGAAGACAATAATTTTAAGTGACCGCAATTTATTTTTCATACTAATTCACCGGCTGTCCTCTTTCAGCTGTGTCGTCAGCCGTTTCTCATCGTCCTTCAGTCGAGTAAGACGCATCTTTAAGGCACAGGAGGCTACTGACCTTCATTGAACAGTCCTTACAGACATGAAATGTACGCCGTAGAAAACACAGAAGTCTCTTGCTGCTTTGGTAAACTACAATGCGTTTGGAAAACGTATTTCTCTTGCCAAAAGCTTTTATCTAAGGGCCTCGAGATAAAGTTTGATTCACCGCACAACGGATTTGAAAAGAAAAAGAAATAAAAAGCTAACTTGCCCACTATTCGACATCTAGATAAGGTGACGACTCAATCAATCTATAGCAATAGCAAACATGATTTGTTGGTAGGTTCAAGTTATTTAGTTAACTAAATACGTGTTAAGTTTTACGTATGGTATTGCCATTAGTATTGCTTCAGACGGCTGTTCCCTTCTCCTCCTACCCCTCCCCCTCCCCAAAAAACCCCCAAATCAAACCCCGGCACGCTTTGTTTCGTGCTAGGGCTTCGTGTTCAAGCATTTACCAGTGCAAACAATTTCATCTGAATATTATCATTTTCAAGCTTTCGGTACTTTCGTTTTTTCTGTGGATAAGCGGTCTAAAGTCTATTTTATTCTATAAAAATATGCACTGTTATTGCTTTTCCGCTAAGTGTAGATATAGCAGAAGCTGTGTAGTCAACACACTTTGGCTTAATTGCAGTGACGCATTGCCCAGAAAAACCAAAAAATCTCAGACTGTTCCAAAAAGGTAACTTTTAAGGAAAAAAACTTTTTACATAAAATAAAAGCATCTATTGAATAGATGCTTTCGTATAAAAAGCAAACATTAGTATCGACCATGTGTAAGTAAAGGGCCGTACATTTTTCATAATAAATGCTAAAGGTCGTACAAAATATATATCGCCTTTCTGACGCCGCTACTACCGCATCGTTAGCGGCCATGGTGAGACTGGGATATTATGAAAAATTGAGTTGTTGAACGAAGAGCAGCGATATGATAGCTGGGGCTTGTTTACTCTAGCCACATCTAAACTGGCGGCTGTTTACGTTTTACTGTATATACCGCGCCACGGCGCGCTGAATTCCATAAACTTGAAATGGTGTAACGTTTTAATTGCCGCTATCATAATCGTCGCATCGGTGAGTTGCACTCAAAGCACTTATATACAGTTCGAGGGTTCAGATTATATACGGAAATCATTACATTATATAGCAGCCGTTTGTCAAGAATATCTCAAGAGCTGTAGTATAAGAAACATCTATGAAGGGGCCTAAATTAACTTAGTGATATTCGTGCGGGTCATTAGCATTTAATCAAATAGAGTTTTATTCAGGGGTAAAAGCTCGTTACAGATCGCGTCAACGGGATACGATTTTTGGCGGCAAGTTATCTTACTTCCAGCAGCCCGCGTTTGATAATTTTAAGATCTATGTGCACGCGTTCTCTGAAATCGATTAAATGTGAACTTTGCTCACAATTGCCAAACTGTTATCCATATCTGTTAGATATAATTGCTTTTGTTTTGCTAAGGATAAGCTTTTTCGGTTCGTTATTGAAGTCTTGACTCCATCACGAATATGGAGAACCGCGACGTGTGGCGTTACTCGTGGTAACGTTGAGTAATCGCTGAGCATCATGGGAGAGAGAGTTCTACAAATTTCTTACGGAATACATAGACACGTCAGGACGTTACCAACGTGAGGTTTTTCCATGCATTAGAATGAAGTATAGAGACTCTATATGATTAAGAATACACTTTTCCAATGCTAAATCTCACAGCGAACTAGGTGACTGTCACTATACAAATAAAGCTTCGTCGTATATGCGATAAAAACATGCAAGTGGAAAATCAATTTTAAGTTACTACATTAAGATATACAAAAAAATTTATTTGATAGGGTAATAGAAAACTTGATGCAATTTTATCACTAAACGGCACTCGTTGCATAAATGTTAAATGATACATGTTATAATAACAAGTGTTTATATGAAGACGACTGGCACAAGCGTTTCTCTTTAGATTGAATACCTATTTAGTTATTTTATCAAAAATAAACAGTAGCTTAATAACATACCTCTTTCTTGTATTTTGGTTAATGAGATTTTGACTTTTCTCAGTTACTATTCTCTTTCAGTATTTCGTTTGCCTTACTGACGCTTAGGCGGCACAAAACGAACCAATCAAGTCCTAGTTCCATAGATATACAAATAGGTTATTTTATTTATACCAAGTATAGGACATTTTCGGGTAATCTAGTTTGAATCAAGTAAGATAGACCTTATTTATTACTTGTCCTTATCTGTAATAATGGATTCAAATGTGCATTGAGACAATTAATACATCTCCTGCATCTTAACATTAGGCCCAGTATCAGTAAGCTCTTTTTTTCGATAAAGGCAGTGATCCTTTTATATGCGGAATCACATTATATATTGGTTTAAATAGAGTCTGATGAACCGTTTTTCATCATGTTCCCAATGTTGTCTATCGTTGCAGATGTATTTTTAAATGTAAGCCTGTAGGAAGTCGCAGAGGAATATAACTTCGCGTCACCTTGTCGTGTGTTGTACAAGGCTGCAAGAAACACTTGTTAATGTCTATAATTAAAACAACGTATTTATGAGCAGCATATTTATTAAGACAGCGTATTGTCCTGTATTATTATGTATCTATTATAGATCCTGTCGCGCAGCTGAAACGATCAGTCACACATTGTCCAAAGCGGGGCTACTGATGTCGTTTTGTAAGAATAATGGACGATTTTCAAGTTGTACCTCTTATTCCACCGGCAACGGAACCGTCCACAGCAAAGTCCTTGTTTCAGAGGATGAACGGCTGGAAAGACACTCCATGACAGCCTGTGTTATCCAAAAAAGAATGTGACCTTTTGTGAATACGTTTTTGCTCAGTGTATGTCTTCTGAAACCTTCTAACGATATTTTTCATCGTAAGTAGTCCCCATACGTACTTTTTGCCAATTCGCCTATGTTATAGATTGCGATTTTTCTGCCGTCAGCAGTAACAATATTCCGTTGAGCTATATAAAGTCGAGCTTTAGATGGCTTAAAATAAAAAATGTGGATATTTTTCTCCAAGTCCAATCGGATCGCACTTAGTTCTATGCGAGTCTCGTGATTACCGATGATTAAGTTCTTGAAACGGTTTTTTTGAAACATTTTCTTCGTACTCAATCTGGACGGGTTTGGAGAACTTTGGCTTCCAATGGCTGCATAAGCAAACAATCCTTAAAAAACACGCTAGGAAATTTAAAACACGAAAGCGAGCGTGACAACAAAATTTAGCCTTTTTTTATAATGTCATTTGGACAATAAGTTTAATTTGTTTGGGCGCAATTACTTCTGAAGAGTTACCTATCCTCCTAAGGAGGGACGCCTCATTAAAACGTAAGTGAAATTGTATAGCTTCGTTATCATCGTGTGAATCTCGAAAAAGGCTTTGACTACCGTTTTACTATTGAGAATGATTGCGCCTGCCTGGAGAATTCATCGTGTGGTACTAAGAGAGCCATCATCCGATACCTTTTCCGTATTTCAGTTACGATGCCAACTGCCGTTTATCCAATTCGTTTTATTTTTTATTTTACTTTTTCTTATTATTATATTAAACAAAAATTAAAAAGAAAAAGTAAAATTTTCTTCAGCATTGTATTACCTTTACGCATTCGTGTGGATAACGCTACCGATGCAGCCCCTTGATAAGCGTTAAGCATACGATACGATTCGACATATGTGAAATATATATAGCAAATATATGTGTAAAATATATAAAACATACGAAGCAAGCATGACTACCACAGCCACTTATCAACCAGTTTCGGCATATTTTTTATTTTCATTTACATTTAAAAGTTCGGTAGATTTGCCGCTTGGTTCACTGCGCTATTGAATTGATTCGCCGGGTAAAGCAAAAGCTCGATATATAATCTTTAACGGATTAAAAACCTTAAGTAAGCGTCGTATGCCTATAATTTAGCGCTGACCAACAGGATACGCTGTTTCAGTCATGCTGGCAAGACGATGCTCGATGAGAGTACCAACATATTTTGAAAAACCAGCTTAGAATTGCAGCTCATAGGCACGAAAATACGATACATTCGTTTATATATATAGTAATATGTTTTATATAATACTGGTTTATATAGCCCCACTTTCCTCTGTGTGTACATATATAATAACATCTTTTTTTTAATAAATGCCAACAACTTTTCAAGTGTTCAAATTATATTAGAATATATAAGTTTAAACGTACTTATGATGACTATAGTATTCGGAAAGGACATTAACGTTTTTCCAATTATTTTCCAAATATATTTAGAATGCAGCCTGTGACTCTTAGTATATTTTGCAAATATTCAAATTGAGCTGCGGTTAGCCTGAACGTTTATGGACAAACGGAGCAACTATAATGTGAGTAACGTTCGCTCTTAGTCTATTTCCATATAATACTACGCCCTATATAGTCATATGTAGCGCTAACAAGCAGGGACTTATGAACAATGGAGTTTGCTTTGTGCCAGAAGTCCTTGAGCCTATTACCAATACTTTATTATATGTGGCTATTGAGCGTTTTTAAAGCCAAAATTGAAGCAGATATGTTTTTATATTTTAAGATAACATTAATAAACTGATGACCTCTTGCCATTTTTCTTGTTACATTACTGTAGAACTTCTGCAGATTCTGGGCGAAAGATTGCGACAAGCGATTTGCATCTCTCTATTTAAGCTGAATTAATCAATGACAGGAGCTCTCCAAAGGCCGAAGGAGAGCATCTAATAGTGCAGGGTTCGGGATATGCGGCGGATGCATTGAAATTTCTCATCAGTTTGTACCAGGTAGCTGAAAATGTAAGTAGTCTGACATTGTCGTGGTCGAAGACGACGTTTTTTTCTTTACTGGATCTGGTGCAGTGGCTTATTAGTTGTTGTCAGTAGAGGTCAGAATCGATCGTTTCGCCCCGTGGCACCAACCTATATGCTTTGTTCCCTCATCTTGTTGGCGTCAGTGCGGGCTTTGTTGCAGGTTGTGGACTGTGCGTCCCGTACTTCAGTTGCACATTATTGTCAGATCAACCACTTTCAAACGATCTGATTTCCTTGTATTTCCGTAGAGTCTCGCAAACAGAAGTACGATTGAGTGATCGAACTTATTCGTAGCGGGTTTTTTTGAACTAGTTTCAAACAGGTTGATGGTCGGTATTTAGTTGTTTGACGATAACGTGGCTCAACTTAACAACCCTTTCTCTTATTAGTCGACCACTACGAGCAGCGTCATGCGCATCGAAGTTTGGGCCCGTTGTTTTCTATAACGCACCTTGACCATCAACAGCCCAATTTTTTATACGCTGGGTCTGGACAGCATTTGTGTCTTTAGCAAAATGCAACCGTAAAGTCTTTGAAAAAAATACACGTATCTTTAAAATATTCTATCTTAGGTGTGAGTATGAGCGGGTCTCGAACAGTTTTTACATTAACTATCATGAAACACATGTCCTCAAAGACACATTACTGTTTTCACACATTAAACATTGAGGTTATATACGCGTGTCTATGAGGTTCTACCAGACTAAGACGTTGGGGGCAAAATATGTATGCGCACTTCAATTACACACTTACGCATATATGTGCCGATATAATATACGTCGGCATAGGCCTCCTACGTCATTCACCAGTTGCTCCTGCCTTGTGCATACCTAGCACATTTAACATTAGTTTTAAAGCGCTGAGACGAAGAGAGTACACAGATTAAGGTTGATACATTATTATTGTCATTTATTTTTGCAAAGGCGTCATGGTACACATACAGATCATGTATAACTATATATAGGTATGTATATGTAAGTATATATA